TTGCGGGTCAGAAATTCGGCCAAAACTGTAAAATTTCGGCCCTGGAAGTTTCAGCTTCAAAAACTGAAAATGGGACAGAGTATGGGACAGTATGATTTTCCAATTTTTTTCGAGATTTTGACTTCCAGTACCCCAATTTGGTTTCATACCATCATCAATTAACTGACTAATTGGTTTGTGGGCAAAAATTTCATCCAATCTGTCAAATGTGCGTTCAGAAATTTTCACATCTGAAAATGGGACAGAGTTTTTTGAAAAAAACTTTTCGTTTTCTTAAGATTTCTGCTGTGAGCTTTCTCCGACCCGAATCAAACTTCCAGCACCTCAATCGTGTCATTTGGCATCTATAAATGACTGACTAATTGGTTGCGGGTCAGAAATTCGGCCAAAACTGTAAAATTTCGGCCCTGGAAGTTTCAGCTTCAAAAACTGAAAATGGGACAGAGTATGGGACAGTATGATTTTCCAATTTTTTTCGAGGTTTTGACTTCCAGTACCCCAATTTGGTTTCATACCATCATCAATTAACTGACTAATTGGTTTGTGGGCAAAAATTTCATCCAATCTGTCAAATGTGCGTTCAGAAATTATCACATCTGAAAATGGGACAGAGTTTTTTTTTTAAACTTTTCGTTTTCTTAAGATTTCTGCTGTGAGCTTCCTCCGACCCGAATCAAACTTCCAGCACCTCAATCGTGTCATTTGGCATCTATAAATGACTGACTAATTGGTTGCGGGTCAGAAATTCGGCCAAAACTGTAAAATTTCGGCCCTGGAAGTTTCAGCTTCAAAAACTGAAAATGGGACAGAGTATGGGACAGTATGATTTTCCAATTTTTTTCGAGATTTTGACTTCCAGTACCCCGATTTGGTTTCAAACCATCATCAATTAACTGACTAATTGGTTTGTGGGCAAAAATTTCATCCAATCTGTCAAATGTGCGTTCAGAAATTTTCACATCTGAAAATGGGACAGAGTTTTTTTTTTAAACTTTTCGTTTTCTTAAGATTTCTGCTGTGAGCTTCCTCCGACCCGAATCAAACTTCCAGCACCTCAATCGTGTCATTTGGCATCTATAAATGACTGACTAATTGGTTGCGGGTCAGAAATTCGGCCAAAACTGTAAAATTTAGGCCCTGGAAGTTTCAGCTTCAAAAACTGAAAATGGGACAGAGTATGGGACAGTATGATTTTCCAATTTTTTTCGAGATTTTGACTTCCAGTACCCCAATTTGGTTTCATACCATCATCAATTAACTGACTAATTAGTTTGTGGGCAAAAATTTCATCCAATCTGTCAAATGTGCGTTCAGAAATTTTCACATCTGAAAATGGGACAGAGTTTTTTTTAAAAACTTTTCGTTTTCTTAAGATTTCTGCTGTGAGCTTCCTCCGACCCGAATCAAACTTCCAGCACCTCAATCGTGTCATTTGGCATCTATAAATGACTGACTAATTGGTTGCGGGTCAGAAATTCGGCCAAAACTGTAAAATTTAGGCCCTGGAAGTTTCAGCTTCAAAAACTGAAAATGGGACAGAGTATGGGACAGTATGATTTTCCAATTTTTTTCGAGATTTTGACTTCCAGTACCCCGATTTGGTTTCATGTCAAACCATCATCAATTAACTGACTAATTGGTTTGTGGGCAAAAATTTCATCCAATCTGTCAAATGTGCGTTCAGAAATTTTCACATCTGAAAATGGGACAGAGTTTTGAAAATACAACTTTTCGTTTTCTTAAGATTTCTGCTGTGAGCTTCCTCCGACCAGAATCAAACTTCCAGAACCTCAATCGTGTCATTTGGCATCTATAAATGACTGACTAATTGGTTGCGGGTCAGAAATTCGGCCAAAACTGTAAAATTTCGGCCCTGGAAGTTTCAGCTTCAAAAACTGAAAATGGGACAGAGTATGGGACAGTATGATTTTCCAATTTTTTTCGAGATTTTGACTTCCAGTACCCCAATTTGGTTTCATACCATCATCAATTAACTGACTAATTGGTTTGTGGGCAAAAATTTCATCCAATCTGACAAATGTGCGTTCAGAAATTTTCACATCTGAAAATGGGACAGAGTTTTGAAAATACAACTTTTCGTTTTCTTAAGATTTCTGCTGTGAGCTTTCTCCGACCCGAATCAAACTTCCAGCACCTCAATCGTGTCATTTGGCATGTATAAATGATTGACTAATTCCCAGGAAACCTTAACGTTAGGGGCCTAACTTCGGAAGTAAAAGAGATAGAAACGTCTGGTTTTCAACAAAATGGCCGTCTTATCTCGTAAAACTAAAGTTAGCTCCCCAATCGCCAAATTCAAAACAATGTAGATTTTGAATTATAGCGAAAAGTCATATTTTAGGCCTTATAAAACTGCGCAGCTTTAACTTTACGGATTCTTGTTCTCTGATTGGCTGACTCGTATCACGTGGTACGTGGTACAATTGCATTCTTGGAATAATTGAAGCGTGCAAATGCAATGAACTTACGAAAGCGCGCGGATTTCAACAAGCTGCGAAAAGGCGATCACCCTGTAGTAATATCGCTAGCCGGTAAGGTCTGCTGGGTAGTAATACCGCCAGGTAGTAAGTTTTGCTGGGTAGGTGCCACATTTGATGATGCGCGGCTTTTGGAGCTTCAGTAAATATAAAAGTCGCGGAATTGGATTGGACGAAATTCGTTGATTTTTGTCCTATTTAAAAATTGTTGAATCTATGATCTTACTGCTGATGTCGCGCGCCATTTTACATTTGCAGCAGTTAGCAGTCGTTAGCAGCAGTTAGCAGCAGTTATTAGCAGTTGACCATTGTTAATGGTCTGGCCCAGCGCGCGTTACTTCGTAGCACTTGCCATTGGGCCATAACATTTCGAGAAGAAAGCGGCGCGCGCTACTTCGAAGAAATTTAGACGAGTAACATCCATCAATCAGCAGTCAGCAGTAGTTAGCAGCAGTCAGCAGCAGTCAGCAGCATTCAGCAGCAGCAGTCAGCAGGTAACTTTAACCCAGTTAGACCTTGCCACACGTTGTAGACTTGCGGCCGCGCACGTGTGCGCGGCTGTATTTGCTCTAGCCAGAGCCCTCTCGCTTGCAGTAGCGCGCGACCGCCGGAGGCGGCAAAAGATCCTACTTGTGAAACAAGCGCGTCACGCAGTACGCGTAGGCACATGGCTATGTGAACGGCTGTATCATGTATCGTGTCGTGGTTTTCGCTTAGTGAAACAACAATGTGGGTCACGACGTGATTCAAATTAGACCTTGATAAACTGTCCTGAATTATACATAGCTTTACTGATCTATGAAATTGCTTTCAGCATTACTGGGTGGCGCTCAGTCTGTCATTCCGCCGAATCTTTATTCGGCGGATATGTTTATGAACATAATGGCCTGGGGTCCCCAGGTAATTTCAGCACTGCAGCTAATATTATTAATTGTGTTCTGCTACTTTACGTTCATCGCGCACTTTACTTAGCTTTACTTAGCTTAAACTATTTAATGGAACTAATGTACAGGATGGTAAAAAGACTGAATATCAGTGCGAGATTGTTCTGGTTTTGATTTAATCAGAACTTACCTGGAGACCCCATGCTATCGTGTTCATGAACATAGAATAGAGATTCGGCAGACTAGAATGAGCGCCACCCAGTAACTCAGAACCTCAACTAAGACGTTGCCACTTCGACAGTCTATCTATTGTGTCATAAATTTTACCTAAGTTAAGTCAGAATTCACACACCTTCTATACCTCAAATAGTCCACTGGCAAAAAACCTGCTGGTCCCACACATCTGAATTAAATTTCACTGGTATAGTGTTTTCCGAGTCTTGTCCGGTGTATATAATGTATGAGAGTAAAGCATTTGTGTGTAATGTGTATGCCCTATGAGAAAGTTTTGATAGAATCAATCTATATTTTTGTATTGTTTAAATTCAATTTGAGATTAAAGTATATTAATGAAATTCATAATTAGCACTATAAACAATAAAACATATCCATAGCTTATTATAACCATTGATACAAAGGCCACAATTTTTCGCCAACTCCCCAATAAACAATTTCCACTTTCAAGTTAAATTTTGCATTTATATCCTCCAATTGAACACCATACATCAAAGCATATAGTGTAGACTTTCTGTCACAACAAGACTGCAATCCGTGATAGCAACCCTTAAAAGAACTTTTTTCTTCACCAACAATTGTTACATTGTCCAAATATGAGCTTTGTCTCCAAAAACTCATCTTTCAGACCCACACATTCCTTGCCCCGTTAATTGCCTGTCCTTCCAAAATCCAGTCAGTAGCCAAGGACAAAAAGTTATACACCAAATGGTCATTATATTCAATGAAACAAGAAATGTTCAATGAAACAAGAAACTTAATTTTCAGCACATTTTACAGAATAAAAAGACATAAAACAATTCATAAAAATATAATGCCCATTTGGTGTATGACTTTTTGTCCCTGACTGCTAGTTTGATTTTGAAAGGACAGGTTAACTAACGGGACAATGAATGTGCGTCTTTGAAAGCTTTTACACACACTGAAATGCTAGTTCAGTTGAGGTTTTAGAGACAAGGCTCATATTGGGACCAACAAAATTGTTAGCAGACATAAGGGGTTCTGTTTATAGTTGTTACTATGGGTTGCAGTCTTCAAGGCGGATATTATCTATCGGAGAGCTGGCAAAAGATTATGACCTTTGTATCAATTGTTATATTAAGCTATAAATATCTTAAACTCGGCAGTGCTTATTTCAAATTTATGTATACTTCATTCTCAAATTAAATTTAAAAATTCAAAAATATACATTGATTTATTAAAACTTTCTCACACATACTTTACTCACAGGACAAGACTTGGAAAACACTATTCTAGTGAATTGTATAAATTTGTTACAAATTAAATTTCTTGCTTCATTAGAAATTTCTTGTTTCATTGAATAGAAGCTTTATTTTTTCAATTTTATAACTCTTTCCGTAACACAATTACTCCTTTTAGATTTATGGCTGATTTCGAGAAAGGGCAAGGTGCTCCTCCGCCTTACAATACAGGATACCCTCCTCAGCAAGGTTATCCTCCTCAGCAAGGTTATCCTCCTCAGCAAGGTTACCCTCCTCAACAAGGTTATCCTCCTCAGCAAGGTTACCCTCCCCAGGGATACCAGGCACCTGCAGCTCAGGGAGGGTACTATAATGCTAATGATGGACTTGAAGCTGGTCATGGCAGTGAACAAGATGATTATCTGATTCAATCGGGGAGATTTGGAGATGCTGATGTTAGACGTGGATTCATCCGTAAAGTGTACGGAATTCTGTCCATCCAATTTGCTATCACTACCATTTTCACAATATTTTTCTGTTACAGTGATAGTGCCAAAGCATGGGCCATAACCCCTGCTGGAAATGCTGTAATGTGGGCAAACCTAGCCGTATTGATTGTTACTGAAATTGCTCTGATTTGCTGTGAAGGTGTGAGAAGGAAGCACCCTGTTAATCTGGTGGTCCTCTTTATCTTCACCTGCTCAATGTCACTCTTTGTGGGCATAATTGCATCCACATACGAGCCGCAAGCTGTCTTGACTGCTGCTGGCGCCACAGCCCTGATTGTGTTAGCTCTCACCATTTTCTCTTTCCAAACAAAGTTTGATTTCACTGGAATGGGGCCTTATCTCTTTGTCGTTCTTGTTTGCTTCATGATATTTGGCTTCTTTGCAGCGATTTTCCGAAGCAATACAGCAAATATCGTGTATGCTTGTCTGGGTGTGCTGATTTTCAGCATGTATCTTGTCTATGATACACAACTGCTTGTGGGAGGAAAGAAGTACCAGCTGAGTGAAGAGGAGTATGTCTTTGGGGCACTCACCATCTACATCGACGTTATCCAAATATTCCTTTACCTTCTGGAACTCTTCGGAAGGAGATAAGAACATTTTTCTTCCTTTCTGACAGTGTGATATTTTCTTATAATGATTACAAGTGACTCCAATTACTCTATTTTTTAAATCAAAAGATATTTTCACAACTCTAAGTTTATGGTACTTGAAACTAGTTGATGTACGTATTCAAGGAGAAATGATACCTGGCATAAGATCTGATTTTTGCAGGTTCAGCTTTACACTCCATATTAACCATTATTTGAAGTGCTTAATTTATGGTCAAGGGCATTCCATTAAATTGTGACATTTTCATTGTAACACTCTATATTTATCACAAAAAGAGCTCATTAATTATGAATAATAGTTGCTTCACTTGTTTCAAATATGGGGATACATTTCATGATACATTTCAATGTGCATTAGTTTATAGAGTTTTTGTTTCATAGCGCTACTACTCACTACTTGTGTTTATTTTATCTAATGTCAATACCAGCATAGCTTTTCAGATATTTTCGGTGGAGATTTTAATTTATGATCAAATTGAAAAGGAAGTACGTAAATTATTGTTTGAGGTTTTGAAAAAAAATATAAAAAGGGTTTAGTTAAAACACCTCATTAAATGCATGTATCATACAATTTGTTATAGATGCCAATTTGCATGATTGTTTTTTAGTCTAAATGATAATTGTTGAAGTGTGATGTAATTAATTAAACTTACTTTTAAAATTACAAATTACTGGATATCTTTGCAGTTTTACTACCATGATGAAAAACAAAAAGAATAATTCAATGCTTAAGTAGTTATTGTGTCTGAAAAGTTGTTTCTTTGATCAATATCAGTGACTCAAAATTATGCTTTAGATTCCATTTGCAATGTTGACATAAATGCCTGTATACAGACTTGACTTGACTTAAGGCGGGTGGTATTCCCGAGATCCATTGACAACAGTTCTCCACAGCTTTCTGTCCTCCATCAGTCTAGCTATCTCATCTACTGACTTCAGCCCAGTATCTGCTTTTAGGTTATCTAGTAGTGTTAAATGAGGTCGCCCCCTGTTAGTATGCCCATGACTCGGCTTCCAGAGGATCAGTTTGTTCAGTGTCAGCTCCGGATGTCGGTGAGCATGACCTGCAAGTCTGAGCCTTCGTTGGGTTATCTTGGAGCTGACTTTGGGAAGATCACCGTACAGGCTGTGGTTGCTGACATGGTCTCGATATTGATTGATGTTAAGGGCCATTCTTAACATTCGTGTATAGCAACCATCAACCATCTTCTCTAGCCTTTTCGTCATAGTCCAAGTCTCGGAACCGTATAGAAGCACCGACTCCACTAGTGCTGTGAACACTCTGATCTTGATAGACTTTCTAAGCTTAGAATTCCAAAGTTTTTTGAGTGTGTGGCATGCTCCCCATGCTCTTCCTTTCCTAACCCTGATATCACTCTCACTGTCTCTGATTCTAGAACCCAGATAGGTGAAGTCTTCCACATGCTCTATTGTACTGTTACCCAGGGACTTGATGGTATCAGGGTTCTCGATGTTCTGAGTAATGAATTTGGTTTTCCCTTCATTCATTCTAAGTCCCACTGTAGCAGCAACCCTTTCCACCTCTAGCATCAGCGTCTCTGCCTCCTTTACAGTATCTGCTATCAGAGCAATGTCATCTGCAAAACCAGTGTCTGATATCTTCTCCGCCTTAACTCTCCTACTCCTATAAGGCTTAATGGTAAATCCTATTTCAGGGTGCTTGCTTAAAGCTTGTCTCATGCAATAGTCAAGGGCTATAATGAACAAGTATGGTGCTAAAGTATCCCCTTGAAGAACTCCTGCCAGGATATCAAATAGCTCAGTGTCCCCATCAGGTGTAATAACTTTGCCCTTCGTGTTTATATAGAGTAGATTAATGATATCCACAATACTGTCTGGTATCCCATAGGCCTTTAGTATTTGCATCAAAATTCCCCGGTGAAGTGAATCAAAGGCCTTCTTAAAATCAACAAACACCATAGCTGCCGGTAGATTTCTCTGTCTAGCCCCCTCTAGTATCCTTCTGAGTGCCAAGATATGACTAGTAGTGGACCGTCCTTCCCGAAAACCATTCTGAGTGTCCCTAAGTACCCCTTCTATAGCCGGCTGGATCCTATTAAGCACCATTCTATTAAGAGTCTTTGCTACAAGTGAAGTCAAAGATATCCCCCTCCAGTTTCCAGGGTTTGTCAAGTCTCCCTTTTTGGGGACCGGGATGATGTTGCTTATCCTCCACTGATCTGGCGCAATACCATCTGTCAGGGCTTTGTTGCAGAAGGACAACACGATTTCATCCAGGTCGCATCTTTTGAGGACTTCAGGTGGTATACCGTCATCACCTGGTGCTTTACCTTCTTTAATCCTGAGTTTAGCAGCTTTGAGCTCCTCTAGAGTAAAAGGTTCTGTACTGATGTTGAGTCCTTCAAATTGAGTCTCGATCCTAGGATGTTCGTTTTCCACATCAGGAGTACTCCCTAACAGATTCGTGAAATGCCTAAGCCAATTTTCCTTCCTCTCTTTGGCTCCGTTGCCCTTTATTTGAGTTGCCCCCTTGGCCTTCCTACCAGTAATCTCATTTATGACATTCCAACTTTCTTTATTTTTGCATCTGTCTGCAGCCATTTCGACCCTTCTAACCTTGGCAACTAGATCTTCTTCAAAGATGTCCTGGTACACCTGATCCAGTTCAGTTTTTAGTAAGTTACCAGACAGTCGACTGTCTTCACTAGGATCCCGGTGATAGACAGTCTCTGCTTGCTGCAACGCTGTACGCACGTTTTGAACTCGCTGATCACCCGCGAAATCGTCACGTCTCTTCTTTTCTCTCTTAGGCAGTATGGCTTTTTTGGTATCAGCAATCGCATCAACAAAATGCCCATACAGTTCCGTAACCTCACTTTCATCGGTTTGCTCGCATAAAGCAGAGTACCGATTCTTGACTTCTACTGCATATCTCTTCTGTAGGTCTTCATCCGATTTTAGTGCTCCCCAATTATACCAGGTTTTCTTGGGTTGCTTTTTTGCTCGTCGAAGAGATAGCTTGATCTTAGACAAAACAAATCTATGATCAGTACCCAATGTACTAAAGAAACTGTAGACTTCAGTGTCTTTGATACTGTTCCTCCACTTCTTCCTCACTAGAATAAAGTCTATCTGAGACTTATTCAGGGTTCCATCCGATAGGTGAGTCCACATCTTACCCCGCTTCTTTCTGAACCTGGTGTTTGTAATCTCCAGATTACATTCCAGGGCAGTATCCCGAAGCAGCTCCCCATTTCTGTTGGTTCTCTCATGGAAATACCAACCACAGTCATTCTCGTCCCTCTTTGATAGGTGAGCGTTAAAATCCCCAATCACCTCCAAGAAGTTGTGAGCAGGGATCTGCGAGACTGCACACCTTAGATCGTTATGAAACTTTTCTGCTGCTTCTACACTATCTGCCTCCGTAGGTCCATAGACACAGACGAAGGTTGGTTTAGGATTCCCATTGAGAGATATCTTAAGGATTCTCTCCGTCACTGGTGTTATCTCCGTAGTTGCGTCAAATGCCTCACTTGTTAGGATGAATCCCACTCCGCCCACTGATGCCTGGGCCCTATTCCTAGTAGCTGATGAAGTAATTAGATAGCTACTCTTGCCAACTCTCTCTACTCTGACAGGCTCTTCATGAACTATCCTGTGCTCTTGGATACCTACAATATCTGCTCCACTCTTCTCGAAAAGATGTACCATCTCCAGTTTCCTCTGGGTAGTTCTTATCGTTCTAGTGTTAAGAGTGCCTACCCAGGTAATGTCGGTACATGAAAATAAACTTTTTTTGTTGTTTTCGTTTATGCTGTTGGGTGTTTCAGGTTGATTAGGCTCATCATTCACCAACCTTCCATTCGGATTTAAGTTGGTGAAATCATTACCACCTTCTCGTCCAGAAACAAAAGTAGGGGCTGATACCCTAGTGCTGTAAGAACTATTCATCATGTTTCTTTTCTGTTGGCTATGTGACACGTGAGCCACCTGCGCCACTGGAATGGCTCCCTTGATAGCTACTTCATCAGTAGATGTTCCCACATACAGTAAATAAAACGGTAATATGACAGATGGTGCTCCCATAGTTCCGGAATCTGTTACATCTTGATTAACCCACATCACCATCATCACGGGCTTGTTCTGAGGATGCCCGGCTTTTTTTTCGGGGGTGCACCCCTAGATCCGCTGTGTTCAGTTACAACTCCATCACTGGAGTTGCATGCAGCCCCACCTCGAGCAGGATGTGGCTCTTCACCACGCACAGACGGTCTGAATGTACAGAGTTGAATCTGCAGCATCCTAGGTTTACCCGTAATAGAGCAAAACCTTTGGGGCCTGTATACAGGTAATCATTTAATAGTTTATGAAACTTGTAAATGAACTTCAGCCAATTCAGGAAGCCGGGTATAATGATACTGCTATGTTTAACTTACCTGGCCGGCATCATTACAGTTCTTGCTATTGAAGCCCTTATCTTTCACCTGTGGTTTTCCAAGCAAGAAGAGTCCAGCCCTCCGATCGAAGCTAAATTATCCCCCGACTGGGATCACATTAACACGATATTAGGAAATATAAACAGTGGTTCAATTAACAAATCCTCGCCTGCTGTGGGAAAGAGCACAGCTTCTTTCCTCAATGTTGTTATGTTATTTATGTTTCAAGAACTCAGAGAAGACACTAAAATCAGAGCTCAAGTTCTGTCTAGAATCAACAGTGAAATCAGTGATGTCCTCACCAGCAAGTTGAAATCCAGAATTATCAAAACTTTAAGTGTGCACAATTTCTCTGCTGGCACTTCACCACCAAAAATCAGCAACATTTATATTAGTAAACTGAAGATGTGTGAGGAGACTAAGTTATTCAGAAAATTGCACATATCAGTGGATGTGGACTATAAAGGGTGTGGCAAACTAGCCCTTCAGGCAACTACATTCATGGGTAAAAACATGTATATCAGTGTTGAAGTAACAAGGTTGATTGGTAAGCTTATATTCATAT